CAGTATTCTTAATCTCCACAGTCAAGGTACTGTGCAACATAGTGTTGTATTAAGTCGACTTCATATGAGTTTCTTAAGGCTAAATAAGTTTAAATATAAAAAGACAAGGTGGGCATTACTACAGCTAGTATGCAGTATGTGCTTGCCTCAAAGGCCATCAGGAGAGTGCAAGTCATTTAAAATGAATTGTAAGTCGTCCTTGCCAGGTTGGTTAACCTTTAAAGTGTTATACATAATTAAAATATTGAAAACGGTTCATGCATTAAGCTATGTAAAAAAAATGTTGAGACCAGGTCTCCGAGTTTGAGAACATAAAACAAGTTTACCAGCATTTGTTGACCAACAGCAACTCGGGCAATTGAATCGGAGGACTTGCCATCTGAACTCTTTGGTATTCCCTTCTGCTCTGTTTTTCGTTTCTCCTGGTCCTCTGGCTTTTGGTGGTCAATTTAACTGCAAATGTTCAAATTTCCTGCAAATACCCTATCTGAAGTGCAAGTTTGAGCCACTATGGTGCCTGGAAATAAAAAAGGTAGACCATACTCCTCCTGGTAGCAAAACTGCTCTTCGCTCCAGAACACCACCTACTGAAATTTCGTTAATCTTGCTCTAGGCCTACATAGTGAATGAATGTGATTCTACTTGAGAGTAATATTAAACATCACCTGGTATGAAAATCATGCTCTCTTCTGAAGCAGATACAGCTAGTCCAAGTCCCAAATTGCAGTCTTCGACAATACACGGGACAGTCTGGTTGCATCAGCTCTCAAATTGCAGTTTTCTCTCCGTTATTCCTGATTTCTAGAACTTATACAAATTATAAAGATACTAAGAATCACAGCACATAAGAATGATGCTAAAGAATCAAAGCACAACCGTAAGTGGCCTATCATTCCATAAGATCAACATTCTTCTGATTTCATTAACTCTAATACTTTGCAAACAAAAGTTCTTTCTAATAGTATAAAAATTCTCCTCTTCCAAGAGAGATAATATGGAGAAATGATAGATGAACTCGAGAAGGTGAACATGTCTTTGCTAAATATAGATACTGAAGCAAAGAAGATAGTTATTGCCAAACCCTCCGAGCTAAGAACCTAGGCAGTAACTAATTCGGTGAATTCTAGACTTCAACCATGACTTGGCTGCATCCTCCGTATTAAAAACCAGCCAACTTGATCTGTGGCCTCATGGAAAGGAGCATTTAAGTCCTTCAATGTGACTCAAACACAGTCCTAAGCCTTTGTCCGGTAGTTGTGTTTCCCATGCCCTGTATTAATTCCAAGTATGGAGAAACTCTTCTCCTGATTCCATTGCCTTTGACAGGTCATTTATCCAAACATGTAATGCAGTCAATGCAGCCCCAAGAGAGAGACTCTTCAGATGTAAGGACCCTGAGTTGGAGACCTGACTCTATATCTGTATAAATCTCCAGCATAGCCCCAGCTAGCAGCTCACAAGCTTTCTCCAACAGGTTGAGATTGACACAGAGATCAATTAAGCAATTGCAGTATGCTTTCTTTACATCATTCTAATCAAATTCACGCAGATGCTTCCATTTTAAAATTCCTTCACTACCTTGCTCCTCCAAGAGAAGATTTACTACATTACCGAGCTTGAATTGGCCTTCTCAATGCACTCAGTAAGCTTGGCAGCTCCTCCTTAGGTGTGAGTCATCACATTCAGAAGACAGGCACAGACCGATCATCAGGCGTTATGCTTAAGTCTAGCATTCGATTGCATGTCCTCACACACCATCAATACGCTGGGCTTTTCCATAGCATTGGATAAGCGATGTTAGAATAAGATATTAGGCTCAAGCCGGCTTCTAACATGTCATCCAACAAGGCCTCTGCCTCAGAGATTTCCCACTGCTGAACATTATGGTAATCAAAATGAAAACGTCCAACTGTCAGGATGCAAGTCCAGAACTTTCATGTCTCAAATATCTTGAAAGCTTCATCAATAACCAAGATCCGCCACATGGCCAAATTGTATTATAAGAATCACATTCAATCCATTCCCTTCTCCTTCATCTCCCTATAAACAGCGAGAGCATCCTGACCATATCGCTCTCCATAAGCCCGCAACAGAGATGCATACGTGCTCCATTTGGCAAATACCCATTACTATCATGTCTTATAAATATTCTTTGCCTGCCATGGCCTCTTGGCTCTCCCATAGCTTCCAACAAATTGTTATATACACATATTCGCTAACACCTAAAGCCTTCATTTCTTCATAAACATTTAAACACCCATCAAATTTCCAGATGTCCCATACTTTTAATCAAAGTGGAAAACTTCATACGATCAATACGCCATTTCTCATTCCTCGCCTATCATACAAACTCAAAGCCATATCCACATTACCACCCGTCCATATGCATCAATCATGGCTGAAAAGTAACATCATCAGGCTCACACCCATGACTAGGCATCTTTTCGAACAACTCAACCGCCTTACGGGCAAGAACACGCCCTACACAACAATTAAAGTCGAAAACGTAACATTATCAGCTTAACCCCTCTCTCGCATTTCCTCGAACACTTCTCCGCTTTTCCAAATCCCTACTCTTTCTCAACACTTTCAAGTCACATTATACAAAATCACCTCCCTCCTGGCTTTCTTCAACTTGTTTTGAAAATACTTTAAAGCAGCAATGCAGTACCCGCATTCGACATGTTATTAATAATACCACACAATCTTGCTCCAAAATTTCATCACCTAAACAACTCAATACTACAAACACTATCCTCATTAGCACTACAAACATTCAAAGCTTCAGCTACTTTAACGAGAACTATACCTCGAGTCGTAAGATGTTTCTTCACTTTGAAGCCCTGGGCTTCTGGGGTTGACCCAGATGTGAGAGTTGAAGAAGAATCATCATTAGTAGCGTTAGGATTGGGAGTTTCTTGCAAAGAAACGTAGGTCTTGGAGAGGGTTAGAGTGAAACTTGAAAGTGAAGGGTCTTGGTTTTGGCTTCGGTGTCGAGGAAAAGGAGTTCAAGAGAGGCTGGCGATCGAGGAAGAGAGAGGAGTAGAGTGGCAGAGATTATAAGCCTTGTTTAGGCTTTGGTTTTGGTTTGAGTTCCAGAGAATCAAAGAGCAACCCTTATCAACTCAAACGTCTCAAACAGACAAACACGACAGGAAGACTTGAGAATATTTGTGTCCTTGAAAATATCACTTTGAGCTGGGCCGTATGAAGCCCTTGGAACCGGGTTGGCTCAGATTCAATGTACGAAAAGATCATTGGGCTCCCATGGGCTCAGATCCGTTAGTAATGTACTGAAATGTAGAATTAAATGATTCGTTTGTTCATTATTCTGATATTTTTTAGAATAATATTTTAAAAAAAGTTATATTGGGGCGGTATTACAATGTGGATTTAGAAATTAACAAAATACACCATATGTTTTTTTATTTACTAAACACACATATAATAAAATATTAAAAGTTAACAAAACACACTAACTCACCCATTAATACGGACAGCCAGCCACCACTGTCGGAGGGTTGTTAGGGTATTTTGTAATTTCTAAAAAAAAATATTTAGGAGTGTTTTATTAATTATAAATTAGTGGGTTTAAAAGAAATTAAATAATATAAATAATATTTGAGAATAAGTCAATTTTACTGCTTAACTTTATTGGGAATACTAAGAGTATAACAGATGGAGCCAAAATGAAAATACAATTGAGATGGATCGAGAAGGGTTTAATTTCCTTGTAATATAGGATTTATTATCTCTACTATGTATAATATACTTTCATTAACGCTTCTTCATAATTATTCAGATTAAGTAAGTTAGACTACAAGGCCGAGGAGAAGACGATGGAGCCAGAGAATTTCGGTACTTCCATTGCGATAGAGTAGTAGATTGCATACATCATTAGTTCTCATGTCTTATCTTTTCTTCCCATGAAAGACGTAGAGCAAACTAAAATACTTTCTAGTAGATGGAATAGATTAGGCCATTATAGAATTCCCTATCTAGACTTGAAGGAAGATATATAGGGGGAGGAAGAATGGAAAGGATGGTTTTATAAATTTTGTGGACAAGTATATAAATGATCTTTGAAAAGTCAATTAAATTTATCAAATTTCGGCTTTCATGTGAAGAAGCATGTGATAACTCTCATGTTAATGCATGGATAACTTCTACAGTAATGGGTGGAGTCGAAGAAGTTGATTTCTACACTCGAGACAAATTTATGGATGCTCGTAGTCTACCATCCCTGAATTATTTTGTTTCCCAAAGCTGAAAAGAATGGAGCTATTCAGAATAAGTTTACCTAATAACTTTATCCATCAAATATGCACAGTCCAAATCTTGAATATTTGTTCTTAGACTTATGTCGAGTTCGCACTACGTCTTCCCTAGATCTTACATTACAAGATCTGATGGCAGATGATTATAACTTAGAGAATTTCTTAGTAAATTCATGAGGAGGCTTTGTAATGTTAAGACTCTATCCCTGCGAAAAGGATCCATTATGGTAAGTACCCACATTCTCTTCTTTCTTTTTTTTAGTTGAAGTTATAATATATTGGGTTTGAATTAAGTAGTGCCATATTTTTATGCAGCATATGGGATGTAAAAGCTGTTTAATGGATCATTTGCCAACTTTTTGCAATGTCAAGCATTTGGAAATAGGGATGTCTATAGTTGTAGAAGAAATTGGTGTCATGGTTGTTCTACTCTGGTACTTGCCTGTTCTTAATTCCCTTCACATATTATTTTTTAATTCAAGATGGATGGAAGAAAAAGATGTAAAGGTAGAACAGTTGCCTTCTCTTTCGACTGCAAGTAATTTAAAAAGGATTGGAATGGATCATTTTCGTGGTAGTATGAATCATTGTGAGCTTATGAGACTGTTTTTAGCAATTTCAAAATGGTTAAGAGGAGTTTATTGTTCAAGTGCATAAATATGGTGAAAAAGAAAAACATCCAATGAACAAGCTAAGAATTTTCGGAGGGANACTGTTCATGGCAAAACTATGACTTGAGGCATTCACATATTTGTACCCATTTAAAATGTAAGGTACTAACATAGTTCTACATAAACTGACACACCAGAATAACGCTAGTGATGACCTTTAATATTTCCCAGTGTTAAGAGCTAAAAAATTGCTCCAATTGCCAAGAGTAGAACTGCTGACACGAAACATACATAAAAAAGTGCCTCTCCAACACCTGTGCAGCTACGGGTTACCATCTTCTGAACCATACGGATCCAACTCAACTGCAGAAGGAAATGCTAATGCAATTAATACTCAACTGCAGGAGGAAAAGCTAATGCTATTATTTACCATCCAAAAGTCTGGCACCTCCTCAATGGGAGGCAAAGATGGATACCATTTCCGATAATCCTGTTCAAAACTCTCAGAGAACTGGACTGCAAGCTTTCCAGACTGGAACTTCTTTGCATTTCTCAGCAGAAACTCCAACTGCTGCTTTGTGATCACAATCTTTAGTATCCCAGTTTTGCGTATCTCTTGTTTAGCCTTTTCAATAGAAATCAAAGGCTTACATGGCACGTTTGGCACATCCGGCACAAGATAGTAAATCCCCCCTGGCTCAAGCTTGGAATCTTGAGGCAATGGTGAGAATGGCTTGGTATGTTGCACCAACTTATAGCCCTGGTAGCGACCAGAAATGATTCTTTTGATTGGTGTTGAAGCTTTGAACTCTTTCTCTGCACCATTCAAGGAGACAACTCTCTCATGGCATTCGTCGGACATTCCACGTATACAGTTCCCCATGGTGCAGTGATCGTTTGAGCTTTAAGTATTCCCATTTTATACTGGTTGCTTTGGCAGCTTAACGTGGAAACCATCATAATAATTTTATATTATATCAGACTTCTTTATTAGCAAGTCAATGGTGGGACTGCTTCTAATTTTGCAAAAGGACAGAACATGGCTGACAGTATTCTTAATCTCCACAAGGTCAAAGGTATGTGCAACATAGTGTTGTATATAAGTCAACTTCATATGAGATCTTTAAGGCTAAAATTAAGTTTAAATATAAAAAGAGCAAGGTGGGCTGCAATACTACAGCTAGTGGTATTGCAGGTAATGTGCTTGCCTCAAAGGCCATCAGGAGAGTGCAAGTCATTTAAAATGAATTGTAAGTCGGCCTTGCCAGGTTGGTTAACCTTTAAAGTGTTTATACATAAATTAAAAATATTGAAAACGGTTCATGCATTGAAGCTATGTTCAAAAAAATGTTGAGACCAGGTCTCAGAGTTTGTAGAAACATAAAATAAGTTTACCAGCATTTGTTGACCAAACCAGCAACTCGTGGCAATTGAATCAGAGAACTTAACATCTGAACTCTTTGGTATTCCCTTGCTCTGTTGTTCGTTTCTCCTAGGTCCTCTGGCTTTTGGTGGTCAAATTTAACTGCAAATGCTCAAATTTGCTGCATCAATACCCTATCTGAAGTGCAAGTTTGAGCCACTATGGTGCCTGGCAATAAAAAAAGGTAGACCATACTGCCTCCTGGTAGCAAAACTGCTCTTCGCTCCAGAACACCACCTACTGAAATTTCGATTAATCTTGCTCTAGGCCTACATAGGATGATGAATGTGATTCATACTTGAGAGTAATATTAAACATCACCTGGTATGAAAATCATGCTCTCTTCTGAAGCAGATACAGCTATGTCCAGAGTCCCAAATTGCAGTCTTCAACAATACACAGGGACAAGTCTGGTTGCATCAGCTCTCAAAATTGCAGTTTTCTTCTCCGTTATTCCTGATTTCTAGAACTTAATACAAATTAATAAAGATACTAAAGAATCACAGCACAATAAGAATGATGCTAAAGAATCACAGCACAACCGTAAGTGGCCTATCATTCCATAAGATTCAACAATTCTTCTGATTTCATTAACTCTATAATACTTTGCAAACAAAAGTTCTTTCTAATAGTATAAAATTTCTTTCTCTTCCAAGAGAGATAATATGGAGAAATAGGATAGATGAACTTCGAGAAGGTGAACATGTCTTTGCTAAATATTAGATACTGAAGCAAAGAAGATGAGTTGAGATTGCCAAACCCTTCACGAGCTGAGAACCTAGGCAGTAACTAATTCGGGTGAATTTCTAGACTTCAACCATGACTTGGCTGCATCCTCCGTAGTTAAAAACCAGCCAACTTTATCTGTGGCCTCATGGAAAGGAGCATTTAAGTCCTTCAAATGTGACTCAAACACAGTCGCTAAGCCTTTGTCCGAGTAGCTGTGTTTCCCATGCCCTGTATTAATTCCAAGTAATGGAGGAAACTCTTCTCCTGATTCCAGTGCCTTTGACAGGTCATTTATCCAAACATGTAATGCAGTCAATGCAGCCCCAAGAGAGAGACTCTTCAGATGTAAGGACCACTGAGTTGGAGACCTGGACTCTATATCTGTATAAATCTCCAGCATAAGCCCCAGGTCTAGCAGCTCACAAGCTTTCTCCAACAGGTTGAGATTGACACAGAGATCAATTAAGCAATTGCAGTATGCTTTCTTTACATCATTGCTAATCAAATTCAAGAGTTCAGATGCTTCCATTTTAAAATTTCCTTCACTACCTTGCTCCTCCAAGAGAAGATTTACTACATTACCGAGCTTTGAATTGGCCTTCTCAATGCACTCAGTAAGCTTGGCAAGCTCCTCCTTAGGTGTTTGAGTCATCACATTCAGAAGACAGGCACAGAACCGATCATCAGGCGTTATGCTTAAGTCTAGCATTCGATTGCATGTCCTCACAACATCATCAATACGCTGGGCTTTTCCATAGCATTGGATAAGCGATGTTAGAATAAAGATATTAGGCTCAAAGCCGGCTTCTAACATGTCATCCAACAAGGCCTCTGCCTCAGAGATTTTCCCACTGCATGAACATATGGTAATCAAAGATGAAAACGTCCAACTGTCAGGATGGCAAGTTCCAGTACTTTTCATGTCTTCAAATATCTTGAAAGCTTCATCAATATAACCAAGATCCGCACACATGGCCAAGATTGTATTATAAAGAATCACATTCAATTCCATTCCCTTCTCCTTCATCTCCCTATAAACAGCGAGAGCATCCTGACCATATCGGGCTCTCCCATAAGCCCGCAACAGAGATGCATACGTGCTCCAATTTGGCAAATACCCATTACTAGTCATGTCTTTATAAATATTCTTTGCCTGCCATGGCCTCTTGGCTCGTCCCATAGCATCCAACAAATTGTTATATACAATCATATTCGGCTTAACACCTAAAGCCTTCATTTCTTCATAAACATTTAAACACCCATCAAAATTTCCAGATGTCCCATACATTTTAATCAAAGTGGAAAACGTCATACGATCAATACGCCATTTCTCATTCCTCGCTCTATCATACAAACTCAAAGCCATATCCACATTACCAGCCCGTCCATATGCATCAATCATGGCTGAAAAAGTAACATCATCAGGCTCACACCCATGACTAGGCATCTTTTCAAACAACTCAACCGCCTTACCGGGCAGAGAACACGCCCTAGCACAACCAATTAAAGTCGAAAACGTAACATTATCAGGCTTAACCCCTCTCTCAAGCATTTCCTCGAACAACTTCTCCGCTTTATCCAAATCCCTACTCTTTCTCAACACTTTCAAAGTCACATTATACAAAATCACCTCCCTCCTGGCTTTCTTCAACTTGTTTTGAAAATACTTTAAAGCAAGCAATGCAGTACCCGCATTCGACATGTTATTAATAATAACCACACAATCTTGCTCCAAAATTTCATCACCTAAACAACTCAATATACTACAAACACTATCCTCATTAGCACTACAAACATTCAAAGCTTCAGCTACTTTAACAAGAGAACTATACCTTGAGTCGTAAGATTGTTTCTTCAACTTTGAAGCCCTGGGGCTTCTGGGGTTGACCCAGATGTGAGAGTTGGAAGAAGAACCATCATTAGTAGCGTTAGGATTGGGAGTTTCTTGCAAAGAAACGTAGGGTCTTTGAAGGGAGGGTTTAGAGTGAAACTTGAAAGTGAAGGGTCTTGGTTTTGGCTTCGGTGTCGAGGAAAAGGAGTTCAAGAGAGGCTGGCGATCGAGGAAGAGAGAGGAAGTAGAATGGCAGAGATTATAAGCCATTGTTTAGGCTTTGGTTTTGGTTTGAGTTCCAGAGAATCAAAGAGCAACCCTTATCAACTCAAACGTCTCAAACAGACAAACACGACAGGGAAGACTTGAGAATATTTGTGTCCTTGAAAATATCACATTGAGCTGGGCCGATATGAAGCCCATTGGGAACCGGGTTGGGCTCAGATTCAATGTACGAAAAGATCATTGGGCTAGCCCATGGGCTCAGATCCCGTTAGTAATGTACTGGAAATGTAAGAATTAAATGATTCGTTTGATTCATTATTCTGATATTTTTTAGAATAATATTTTAAAAAAAGTTATATTGGGCGGGTATTACAATGTAGGATTTAGAAATTAACAAAAATACACCATATGTTTGTTTATTTACTAAACACACATATAATAAAATATTAAAAGTTAACAAAAACACCACTAACTCACCCATTAAATACGGACAGCCAGCCACCACTGTCGGAGGGTTGTTAGGGTATTTTTGTAATTTCTAAAAAAAAATATTTAGGAGTGTTTAGTTAAATTAATAAATTTAGTGGGTTTAAAAGAAATTAAATAATATAAAATAATATTTTGAGAATAAGTCAATTTTACTGCTTAACTTTATTGGGAATACTAAGAGTATAACAGATGGAGCCAAAATGAAAATACAATTGTAGATGGATCAGGAGAAGGGTTTAATTTCCTTGTAATAATAGGATTTATTTTATACTCTACTATGTATATATAACTTTCATTAACGCTTCTTCATATATTATTCAGATTAAGTAGAGTTAGACTACAAGGCCGAGGAGAAGACGATGGAGCCAGAGAATTTCGGTACTTCCAATTGCGATAGAGTAAGTGATTTGCCTAATGACATTATTTATCATGTCTTATCTTTTCTTCCCATGAAAGACGTAGAGCAAACTAAAATACTTTCTAGGAGATGGAATAGATTAGGCCATTATAGAATTCCCTATCCAGACTTGGAGGAAGAATATAGGGGGAGGAACAATGGAAATGATCTTTGAAAAGTCAATTAAATTTATCAAATTTCGGCTTTCATGTGAAGAAGCATGTGATAACTCTCATGTTAATGCATGGATAACTTCTACAGTAATGGGTGGAGTCGAAGAAGTTGATTTCTACACTCGAGACAAATTTATGGATGCTCGTAGTCTACCATCCCTGAATTATTTTGTTTCCCAAAGCTGAAAAGAATGGAGCTATTCAGAATAAGTTTACCTAATAACTTTATCCATCAAATATGCACAGTCCAAATCTTGAATATTTGTTCTTAGACTTATATCGAGTTCGCACTACGTCTTCCCTAGATCTTACATTACAAGATCTGATGGCAGATGATTATAACTTAAAGAATTTCGTAGTAAATTCATGAGGAGGCTTTGTAATGTTAAGACTCTATCCCTGCGAAAAGGATCCATTATGGTAAGTACCCGCATTCTCTTCTTCTTCTTCTTCTTTTTGTTGAAGTTATCGTATATTGGGTTTGAATTAAGTAGTGCCATATTTTTATGCAGCATATGGGATGTAAAAGCTATTTAATGGATCATTTGCCAACTTTTTGCAATGTCAAGCATTTGGAAATAGAGATGTCTATAGTTGTAGAAGAAATTGGTGTCATGGTTGTTCTACTCTGGTACTTGCCTGTTCTTAATTTCCTTCACATATTATTTTTTAATTCAAGATGGATGGAAGAAAAAGATGTAAAGGTAGAACAGTTGCCTTCTCTTTCGACTGCAAGTAATTTAAAAAGGATTGGAATGGATCATTTTCGTGGTAGTATGAATCATTGTGAGCTTATGAGACTGTTTTTAGCAATTTCAAAATGGTTAAGAGGAGTTTATTGTTCAAGTGCATAAATATGGTGAAAAAGAAAAACATCCAATGAACAAGCTAAGAGTTTTCGGAGGGATAAAAGGTTGGTTGAAGTCGATTCATTGGTCAACAAATTAAAAGGTTTCCAATACTATCAACCAATTTTGTTGTACAAATTTACATTAATGATTGGATACAAGCATAACTCATGGTTAATGGTATGATAAAATTATATTGTTAGTATTTTCTTCGAGTTCAATCAAGATTTATTTATTTATTTTCATTGTCTTCAATTGGGTTAAACTTGTAGGCACACAAAGAGGGCATCTATTTATTTATTTATTTTCATTTTCTTCAATTGGGCTATGCAATGATAGGTGAATTCATTTTGTAAATCAATAATTGTATTGAATAAAGTGATAAAAATGTTAGAAAAAAAAATGAAGACAAGGAAAAGAGAGGGAAAAAAATGAAGAGTACATATAAGATTTTAAGCAGTGAGCTGAACTCTGGTTTGTAAAAAGAAACACGTTAAATGGGTAATTATCTATGAGTAATGCTATACTTACATCAATCTTTTACACAATTTTCATTACATCATGATGTGGCATATGTCACAACCATACAAATTTTTAATTCTTAATATTATAATAGAATTTGTGTGGTTGTAGCATATACCACATCATGATGTTTACAAAATGGTGTAAATGTAGCATTACTCATTATCTATTGGCAGCTCACAATTAAACTAAGCACACCACAAGACTAGGTTAGTGATAGACCCGTAGATTTCTATGCAATGATAAACTCTCTTTTTTTGTCATTGTGTTCAATTGGGTTAGTGATAGGCTTAGGGTGCGTTTGGTTTCAAGAATATTTTATTACTAAAAGGATATGATTATCGGTCAGTGAGATAGATTGTCTTGAAGATTACTGGAGAATGTTATATTAATATATTTGATTAGATTGTAATAAATTGGTAAGTATAAACAAATAATATGTTTTGTTCGGAGGAATAATAGATTATTGGGAGAAGTTTTTACTAAATTGCCATTTCTTTTTAATATTATTATTTAGAGTACTATTTTTAACCCCCTATATTTGAGAATTTAGCTAAAACACCCCAACCACTATAAAAGTTTAAAATTTAACAAAATATCTCCAGCCACCCAAAATGATTGCTGACCGTTTGTGTCGTTATTAATGCTGGAACGACGTATGATCGACTAGATCTGGTTATTTTTAGTCAGGTCCATGGCCATAAATGGCCAAATCCACGGATATGGCCAAAAATGAGACTAGATCCATGACAGTTTCTTTTCGGTCAAATCCATGGATTAGGCTAGAAATGATTAGATCAATGCATAGCTGGTCATATCCGATTGGTCGTGCGCTGTTTCGACGATCACTATAACAAAAAGGGCCTTTAGCTACAAACTTTTTCGTTACTAAAAGCTTAGAAATTGTTGCGGTATACGTTTAGCGACGAAAGAAAATCATCACATTAGGCATGTCGCGCTTTATTTTAGGTGACGATTTGTTAAAATTCGTCAGTAAATCTAGCAATAAACCAAAAAATTATCGATCATACCATTTTCGTCGCTAAAACTATTTACCGGTGAAATATTAGCTGTCGTCGTCTAAAGTTAATAGCGATGTACTCTCTATTGTGTTGCCTAACGTATACCACGACGAAATGTGAATTTTGCTCGCCTATGATATACCACGACGAAATGTGCATTTTTGTTGCATAAAGTTAATAACGACATCATAATTGTGTGCGTTGCTTAAAGTATATAACGACAAAATATAACATTTTGTTGCCTAACATGTAGTGCGATAAAATATGAGTTGTCGCCTAAAGTAATTAATATTTAATTTATCTAAGACATTTTAAAATTTAATTCTAAAAACATAAATATTAATTTGTAAATGTAATTAATTGAAATCACATAAATATATCAAACCAAATATATTATAGAACTATATATGTTAGTTTTCAAATAAAAAGTTAAAAATATATAAAATTGACTAAATTGTAATATTCAACAAAAAGTAACAAGTGAAAACTCAAATTGTTGCAGGTGGTGGAAGATCTGGTGGAAATTGGCCCGAGAATGTTTGTGAGCCATTAGAACAAGAACCTATATTAACTGAGATGCACTGCATTTTCTCCATCATTTGCCTATATTGGCAAAATTCTTCCCTTATGCCTTGTAGTTCTTGCACCTCCTCACAAGTGTGTGAATTTCTCCAAAACTTCTTGATTGGCTCGCCTAGAAGACTTAGAAGATGCAGGTGGTTTTGAACTATAACCCAATCCACGATTTGTTCTTACAAAAATAATATATATGTACATAAACACAAATGTATAAATTAAAACAATATAATATTATAAATTAAAAAACTAGAAGGTATTAGGTTATAATATAAAAATATAATAAAATTTTATACAAAAAAAAAAAATGAAATACACTACATAATACTTACATGTCGAACCTTGGCTTCATCATTTATCCAAGTATTTCTTTTACTGCTAAAATGAGTGTCATGGAATAAATGCACCTCCCCTTAGAGCTGGCCTTAAGAAAGATACTAATATTAAAAAAAAAAACAAATAAAAGACAATTAATATTAAAAAAAAAACAAATAAATAACAATTACAATATACATATTAAATAAAAAATTATTCAAAAATAAATATTTTAAACCTTTGAATTATTTGTTTGGTGAAAAATGATTATCAAAATAAACCCTACCCATAAGCTAATTAAGGTACACAAGGACTAAAAGATCATTCAAATCAATATCAAACTTTGTCTACTAAAAAAACAATATTCAATATATTAGTAATTAAAAAATTGTAATTAATAAAATTAAAAACAAGTTTACCAATAAGTGAGTCATAATCAATTTTTTATCATCAAGGTCAATCTTCTTGCTCCAAACAAATCTAAGAGTCAGTTTCTTTCACTAACACTAATCTAACAAAGAATCAATCACAAACAAATCTGAAAGATTAAAAACAAAAATTAATTCCAAAACCAAAATTACCTCAGCCATCTCAACATTTCCAGCGGTTTCAAACAAGCCAGTAAGCTGGGCACTGTCATTTGATGTCCCTTCTTCATGCCATATAAGCACTACACAATTTAGTATTGAAGCTCATTCTATTACCTGAAACTGCTCACGATATAGCTTAACAGCCTTGGCATGTGACAGTAACATGTTGTCCATAACAATGAGGGGCTCTACATCAGAGTTGCCAGCAGAACAATTTCCAAATGGTTCTGAACAGTGAGCTGGAGGGTACCATCCCCTAACATATCCCATTTCGCTTAACAGGTTCGGCTCGTTGATGGTTGCCAACTCTTAACTCGATCACCAAAATTCTCAAAGCATATTTTGGCAAAATGTACGAAATCTTCCCTGTAAGAACACTGAAATCACATTCTGTACCAACAAAACTGATTCATCATAACTAAATGAACAAGAAAGGGATTAAGGGATCTTAGAGCAACCAGGTATTGCAATCTTAAAAGCAAAAGTACTGAAGAAACCCCTTTAGAGAATGGTAGAACTCAGTTACTAGGCATATATTCAGAACCTATCGAAAATCTAGTCGAGCATTTTTTTTTCAGGGAAACAGAAAAGCTTATAGAGTGTGAACAGAAGTTAAATGAATTAGAGGGCTGAGCCAAGACCCATATCTATCTTCTAGTTCTTGTGGTAAGTCAAAATGGAATATGGTCACAAACGGCTCAATTCCTGCCTTAACCAATTCATATTCGTCATCTTCAAGAATATTGTAAAAAAAAAAACACTAGTGCTTAAGTTATAGATTCATTGAAAAGGATATTACCTCTGAGCAAGAGATGGTCTATAATATTATTATAAAACATGATTCCACTTGGATTAACTTCACCAAATCTGCCTTCTGTTACAGCTCAGGAACATTATCATCAAGTAGTTGAATATTAATCTCACTACATTAACATTCAATTAATTGCTACTAAGAACATACTTGGTAAAATTCTAACCATGAAATTGAGAACCGGTACGCATTTACTCCAAGTGAATGCATAATCTCAATATCTTCCTGTGAAAATAAATAAGAAATTCATGTATATTGAATAGAAGTTGCAGGTAAGTAAAAAATTAGTAAATTTAACCATTCATTTACCAAGAATCGGTGGTAATGATCATCAGCAACATCTCCATTATCATTAATTTCTTTAATTGACGAATCTGTTCAAGCGATTCTTGAGTTCAATCAGCTCCTTTTTCAAATACGACGCGATATAGAAGGTCACGTAATTGCCCAAGAGGAGAAGTGGCGGATTTAGGGCAGAAATTGGAGAAGATCAGTGGCGGCCGGAGTGGAGAAGTGGATCTGCAGTGGCGTCGTCGGCGGTAGGGTTTTGTGGTTTGGGGATTTTCGATGCCAAAGTGACGAGGACTGTGATTTTAGGAGCTAGTAATTTTTTTTAACTTTTTTTACTTCTAAGGGTTCAAACGTTTTTCCATTTGGGGCAAATTTTTTTATTTTTTATTTTTTAAAACCCGGTTTGGGTTTTTGAGATTCTCTTTAATTTTACATTTATAATCTTTTAAATTTAAATTTTTTTCTTTTTTAATTTTAACAAAAAATTGTTTACTTTTTTTTTTTTTTTTTTAATAAAATCAGAAATTTGGTTTTCTCTATTTCTATAGACCAAAACCGAACCAATTTTCCGAATAACCAAAAAACCACTTCAGTTCCTGGTTTGGATTGGTTTTTACATTTTTCTGAGCACCCCTACATTTGGGTGTTGGGGATACACCTCGACAAAAACTCACCGAAGTTAACAAACTCCATCGGAATAGGCACAAAGTCACTGAGCTAGTCGTCGTCTACTAAACGGGAGTCGTAAAAACGAGAAGCTTTTTGTTTAATGCCGGAAATAGGTCGACTATGAGGGTTTGCAAAAATGAGTGAAATAGAGGATAAAAATAAGTTTTAAGGAAAAAATTGTGGAAATTGTGAATGAAAAATTGGTGGCAAAAAATGGGCGGGAAAAGTTTTAGACAAATTTTTTTTTTTGTTTTTTATATACACCAAGTAATCCTAAAGTAATTGCTAGTTTCATTTTAATTAGTAGAATGTCCTCGAGTAATCTTGAATTACCCAAGAAATCCTAAGGTAATAATTTTACTCAATGTAAAATAAATAGTGGGTAATTTTTCCTACCCTAGTGTATATATAGACAATTAAAATACTGTAACCACAAATAGATAATGTTGTCTTGTGATAGACCATGTCCTTGAGTTTTACATGTATCACATTCTTATGATGTGAATACCCGCATCCACTGTTTAAAGAACCGAACCTTACTTGTTGGTCAGACCAATTGAATCGGAACCTTGTACCTTTAACGGTCCGGTTCTCTCTGAAAACCGGAATACACATCGACCTGGTTTTCATATTGATGCCGAAGTTAATGAACAAGAAGAACTTTGTAGTGTGGATATGGAACCAGAGGTTGTTCAATTTGTGGAGCCAAGTGGTAAAGTTAGTGATGATGATATCAGTTTCATAAATAATGATAGTGAAAATGAGATGAGTGATGAAAAGTTTTCGAATGACAGTGAAGATGTATAAATTGAAGATGATATTGAGAATTAATAATATTTATTATTGTTATTCAAGAGTCAAACTTCTACGACATTATTTTTTATATTGACACTACTTTGAATTTTGATTTCTTTTATTACTGATTGGTTTTACACTTTCAGCTATTGTCATATAAATATAAAATTACATTAAAAATTAAATTCTAACATACTAATGGCAACAATTTTAAGAAAATTGACACAAAAACGGTTTCATGACGAAACATAGATTGCGTTGCAATACGTTTTTGGCATTGTTTTTTATATTTGCGTTGCCTAAAACGTTTTCTGACGAACTATTTGTTGCATAGCCAGATGGATTTTGCGTCATTATTTATGTTTGTGTCACCAAAAACGTTTCCCGACGAACTATTTGTTGCGTAGCTAGATGGATTTTGCTTCATTTTTTTGTAGTTTCGTCATCAAAAAGGTGTTACGATGGGCTTTTTGTTGCGTAGCTAAACTTCATTAGCTTCGCTTTCTATATTTTCGTCGCCAAACACATTTTATGGCACTGTGCATTTGCATTGCTAAATACTTTTGGCTATGTTTTCTATTATTTTTGTCTCTAAAAAGTATCCACGACGACATATGGTTACGTTGCGAAAAAATTTGGGCATCGCTATTTGTATTTTCGTCGTAAAAAACATTATGTGACGAATTATGTCATCGCTAAGTCTGTCGCCAATTTGCTTCCCGCCATCTCGTGCAAGGATTAGAAAGTCCACGAAACTATTAGCAACCAATTTCATATTTCGTCGCTAATAGTTACCTTTGGCGACGAATTTTGAAATCATCGCTAAAAAAATCGTAGCTAAAAGCCTTTTTTGTTACAATCGATTGTGGCGGCTGGTGGTGGTGGTTGGCGGCCAACAGTCATCTTGGGTGGTTGGGGTGTTTTGGGTGGTATTCATGTAAACAGTTTTCATAATAAGGGCATTACTGTCCAAAAATTTAATTACGTATAGGTAAAATGGTAACATGTATTTTGGGGCATTTCTGTCCAAAAAATTAATTTGTGAGGTTATAGAAGTCATTTCGCATTGTTTGGCTAATTGTTATATGGTGGACATATGAGGACATTTGTGATCAAAATGTTTATTAATTAAGGGTAAAACGGGAATAAAATTTGGATTACCTTGGTAATCTTTTAATAACACTCTTGAATCAAATAATTTGATTACTCCCTATATCATCTACAGTAATCACTAATGATATTGGAAAATTAATGAAATCTTTTATTACTTGACAACCAACAAAGGAATGTTCGTAATCACATATAGATTACTGGAGTAATCTTTCTAAACCCCTATCCAAACACAACCTTATAGATTTCTATGCAATGATAGGTGAAGTAAAGATTTGGTAAAGTATAAATTAGCCAACATGCTTAATTAACTTGCACTAAATATAATTTTGTTAACAGTAGATTCAAAACATATTATCCAATATATATAATTCATTTTTTAAATCAATGATTGTATTGAACGAAGTGATAAAAATGTTAGAAAAGAAAAGAAAAAGTATTAGATATGTAACCTATATCTAATGGTACAACTATACAATGCAAGATATAATATGCGAAAAAACCTTATTTTTATAAGTAAATTTGAATATAACATGCCATATTGATATAATAATTCAAACGGTCTCCTTTCAATGTAACAGCTAATGTCTATTGTATGCAACATGCATATCTTTATTTACTAGTTGACCAACTTTTTTTTCCCCTTCTCAGAGAAGAAGAAGGCTGGCAATGCTTCACCATGGAGAATTAAATATTAAACATGATGACCCTAATCGTTGAATATTGAGATAAGTGATTAACAAAAGCCACTTGCTAATCTTATAATTTTTAATTCATCACATGGAGTCGAATATGCACATGCAGGTTATTGTGTTTGTGGTAGCTAGCTTGCATTACACGGCCATATTTATAGTTTATAAATATATTGATTCCTTTCGATCTTCTTATTCGATTCTCTGCCCTAATGAAGTTGAGTTTATTTGTGTCGGTGTCTCAGTGTCTTCTTGTTAGGTTTCTATTCGCAATGTACTGGAAATGCATACATTATTCCCGGCCATCTGGTTCCATAATATTCTTGTTCAACATTAGTTTTGTACTAGCTTTCGTGCATTTCAATTTCATGCAGATTTAACCACCCAATTGTGGCCGGATGGATAGAGGGGTTTATGGTTGAAAGCGCCACCGATCTTGAGTTCTAGTTGTACAAAAGGGTGTCCAATTATCATACCTAAAAAAAAAACAAATTGTGGGTTAATAGTAAGATTAATTGACCTTCTCAGTTAAAATTGGCTTGTTTTAATCAATATATATCAAGGACGAAACCTAACTGCTCATCAATATTTTACTTGCATTGTAATTCTAGCTAGATCATCAAAAGGTCCATTCCAAAAAGGCGAAAATTAGGTATTCAAAAAATCTTTAATATCTATTATGTAAGCATCTATCTAACATTTGTATCCGCTTTCAGTAAAGTCCTTGATGCATAATATTAACTAATTTATTGATTATGATTGAATGAATTAATAATTAACATGATAATTTAAACTATACAGTTATTATATTATACTTAGAAAGAAAAGCTTGATCATGATCACTAATGGTGACCTTTCATCAAATTCAAAAATATTATACATATATGATCAATTTATCCCACCAGCAAAGCTTATATATTTTAACATAAATTTTATGTCAAATCACATGTAGCCATCCACAAACACTTAGGGGGCGTTTGGTTCAGGAATGTTAGATTACTGGGAATATTGGATTACTGAAAAGATAGATTACCTTGGAAGATTGCTGAGAATCTTTAGGAAAATGTGTTTGGTTAGTTGGTGGGTATGTTATATTAATATGTTTGGTTATGGGGAATAAATAATAAATTGGTGGGTATATTATTTAAATTACTAAATTGTCCCATTTTCAATAATTAATATAATATTATTTTTATTATTAATTTTTGAATAATTTTTTTTAACCCCCAATATTTCAGATTTAGTTAAAACACCCCCGCTTATATAAACTTTAATTTATTACGAAATCACCCCCACCTCTTATCGCCACTGCAAACTACCGCCAGAAGTCTCCAAAAGTCCCCGTGAGAAGCTCACCATGACCAAGAGGCTCCGGTATGGCTGTTTTCGACCAGATTGATGGCTAAAAACGGTCATATCAAGCCAGATCTGGCCGTTGACGACCAGATCCCTAGCCATTAGCGGCCAGATTTGGGTGAGATCCAGCCGTTATTGGCCAGATCTATTCCGACCAGAATAGATCAGGCCGTTAATGGCCAGGGATCTGGCCGTTAATCGCCAGTTCCATCGATCTGGCCGGAAATGGCTAGAATAGATCTGTCCATTTCCGGCCATATCGAAGCCTCCTGGAGCCTCCCACAGAATCTCGTTCTTTTTTAAGGACTCCGGTGACTTTTCGGCTGCGGTCCATGGTGGTTGACCGTTGTCGGCGGTGGTCGTTGAGTGGCAGTGGTGGTGGTGGCTGAGTGGCTGTGGTGGTCTGTAAATTGTTTTAAATATAAGGACATTATTGTCCAAAATTTTAGTTAAATAAGGGTAAAATTGAAACATGATATTAATGTAAATTTATTTTAAAATGAGGGCATTATTGTCTAAAACTTTTATTAATAAGGGATAAAATTGTAACAAAAAAAGATAACCCTGATAATCTTAGAATACCTAAGAAAATGGAGGTAATCAGATTACCTTCAATATTACCAATAGTAACTACTATTGGTATTTAAAGATTACCGGAATCTTATATTACTTGACAACCAAACATAGTAATTAAGTAATATAAGATGACATTATCCCAATAATCTCACATTATTGCCAACCAAACGCCCCCTTAATGTTATTTGGCATACATAATTAAACTAATTAAGAGCAAACCACGAGATGATCGATCATGAAACACGATATTGATTACAATGCATATATCAACCATTAAACCAATTACATAATTGAGCAAGTTGAAGGATTTTCTTCACAGAAGTAATCTCCACGACTCCAGCAATTACCTCTACTCCAATCACCGTCACCGCCGCCCCAACTATCATAAACCGGCCGTCCGTAATAACCATCATAATATATAGGTCTTCCATAACCAAGCTGTTGACATGGCCCCCCTCCATGCCCCCCATAACACTCCCTGCAGCACGCCCCAAATGGGTAATTCGGGTAGCCCGGTGGGTAACCCGGTGCCGGTACAGGAGCCTTGGGAGTTGGTACTGGTACAATAGCCTTGGTAGTTGGTGCTGGATCAGACGCCTTGGGTGGTTGTGGCTTCTGTTTCGGTGGTGGGTCGACAATAACAACTTTTGGTTTTGTTGGTTTGGGATCTTCTGGCTTCTCTGCCTCTTTCTTCTTCTCGGGCTCTTTAGGTTTTTCCTTTTCGGGTTCTTTCTTCTTCTCGGGCTCCTTGGGCTTTTCCTTCTCTGGTTCTTTCTTCTTCTCGGGTTCTTTAGGCTTTGCAGGTGGCTTGATTTCGATACTCTTGACTGCTTTACCGCCTTTGCAGCATATCTTTTGCATCAATCTATCAGGACAGCAGGTAACCACTTTTATCGTCACCGTGTTTTGCTTCTCGTCGTAAACTTGGTCTCGTATCTCTGCCAATAGCACGTCCCTAAAGTTCAGAATCAAACGCACAAGTAAACACAAAGAAAGAAACACAGGAGAGAAACTTACCTGGAAATTTACAAAGCACTTTCTTCACTTTCTTGTAACACTTTGAGCACTGGAGGTCAACTTTCAGCAGCATTATCGTAACCTGCAAAGATTGCCGATTTCGTTAATTCCTTGGTGCTCGTTCCAAATTCGAAGTACCATTTGTACAAATAAGAAATCAGTTTAATGGTGATGACAGTTTAAGAATGATAAACTATGCTTAATGAGAAATATAAGAGAGAAGAATACAAACCTCTGCCATTTCTGTGAGTGCTCAGATCTGAACCTCGGAGCACAAAGAAGAGTGATAGATTATTATTTATTATGGAGTGGAATGATAAGAGAGAGAGTTCAAGAACCTTCTGTACATGAATTAATTAAGCCAATTGCATGTAAGAAGAAGAAGTTAAAACAATACATCATTTCTTAATAAACAATACAATATTCAGATCAAATTTGTCGGTGATTGATGATGATTGGAGAGGCCTTGACGAATAAACAGGTACATTTGTGAGGTGAGGGTCTCCCGTATTACGTAGACATATTTGAGGCTCTCCAATTACTCTAAAAATCTTCATTCAATTAAAGTTTATTAGATTCTAACACTGCGTAGATATAAGTTGAAAAGTTAGACAAATCTTGTACATGTTACCTTTTTGCAAAATAAAAAAGAAAAAGAAAAAAAAAAGTGTATCTTATTTATATTTATATCAATTCATAATTGACATTCATTTAAAGAGTAAGTCACGTCACTTATATTCATTCCTTTGCAAGAGACTTTGCATAGTGTTACTCTTTATAAATGTAAATATAGCGTCAAATCGCTGAAAGGTCTTGAAGATAGAAAACCACAATGATTTCAAACTTCACTTCAATTGCTCGTATCCTGCTACCCCGACTCTGTTAACGTTGACTAAGCGGGACATTCTAAACTCTTTCTTATCAAACCCTTTTTGTCCTTGTACAGCCTTTACCAGGCTTTTTTCATTATATGTTCGCCAAGAAGAAGAAGTTCCGTCGCCATGCTCAGATAGCATAAAAAACAAGATTTTTATACATCGAAATAAACATTCATGTTAGTATCTTTATCTCCTATAGTCACGAACTTTATGCACTAGTTTGCAAAGTGGTTCCTGCATCGATCGTGCGTATTTTCCTACGCGTTCCTTGTGTAGAAAAACACAATTTCTATAGGAAGATAAGGGATAAGAAACGGGAGAAAAAAAGGAGCCAACAGAACGGTACCTTTTCAAAAATTATTGAATTACAAATTTCCACCCTCACAAAAACTTATCAAAGAAGAGAAAGACACACGCACACCCACAACCACACCCACAGAAACTTATTAAAAAAGAGAAAGACAAATGCCCACACCACAAAAATATCTATGAATTCCACGTAATTAACAACCATCAAGAAAAAAATCAAACAGAAGATTGATCGATGTCCATTGCATCGATGATGCATAATGTGATTACATAATCGGCAAGGTTCTTCACAATAATTGTAATAACACAACGATTCCTGCAATAATAACCCGTTGCAACCACAATTACAACCAATAACCCAACTATCACAAACTGGCCTTCCAGAACATGGAGGTCTCCCACAAACAAGCTGTCCACACGGACCCCACACCGATGTGGCTTCTTAGGCTTTCTGGCTTCTTAGGCTCTTCTGGCTTTTAGGCGGCGGTTTGATTTCTATACTTAGGATTGACTTACCGCCCCTGCAGCGGATCTTTTGCAATATTTTTTCAGGGCTGTAGCAACACGCCACTTTTATCGTAACTTGTGTTTTCTTTCATCGTAAACTTGATCTTTATTTCTATATATACAAGTTAAAGAGAAATTAACAAACCCAATAGCTTACATATTCATGCACAAATATAAACACCCAACACAGAGACTCACGTGGGATTTTACACAGTACTTTCTGACTTTCTTGTAGCACTTGCAGCATTCAGGTCAACTTTGATCACCATTGTCGTAACCTACGATTATTAATCAGAAAATTTAAAAATATTAAGAAGAATATTAAATAGCAAGAAAGGAGAGTTTAGGAAGGTGAGACTAGTTTGCACACCTCGCCCATCTTGAGAGTGTTGATAGGATCTGAACCTCAAAGCATAAGGATCAGATGTTATTGTTATATATAGACTTGAATAGCTTCTCTAAGTAATAATTAATTAAGCCAAATTGCACTTGGAGAGGAGAGTTAATTACAAAATTAAAGCCCGACTGCTTGGTGACGTTTCCCAACTGACGTCGCGTAGGGCTGTGCAAAACGGGTACCCGCTCCGAATTTGGCCAAAAACCGGGTACCCGAAATCGGGTACCTCAAAAATACACCCGCTAACCGAACCGTTTTAAACTACCCAGTTTTGCGGGTACCCGAAAATTCGGGTAAAAAACCGGGTAACCGATTTTGGTACCGAATTTTTATATTGCTGGTTACAAAATTTTTAAAAGTTTCAAATATTAATAACCAAAAAGAAAAGGTTTTAACATGTAAAAATAGATTGAAAATTTACAATTAATTAAGCTCCAAAAAAGCTAATGAGAGAATCTCAAAAAGCCGTAAATTAATTATTTAAAATCTACAAGCCTTCTTAAATACAAACAAATAATTCATATGTTAATGTTTATGACTTTAAATAAGCTTTTCTTAATAAATAAAACTCTTAGATAAGTTGTTTCATTGTCAACAACCAACTGGTAATTTCGGCTTCAAATATGTAATTAATTTATGAGAAAATACATATTTACATGGGGTTTATGAATTAGATTGATGTCAAAATCTGTGACTTGCCCACAACTTAGTATCATTAGTTAAATATTCCAAAGGATATAGAAATGTACAACTTAGTATCAATTGTAATAATTATGAGAAAAACCACATCTAATCATATATATTCCAAAGGATATAGAATGTAAAACTTAAATCTTATTCATGTAGTATCATTAGTTCCAGAACATCAACTTTTAATTTAATGCCTTCAATACTAAGATTTAATATACACCAAATCAAATGTAATACTCTATATCCTTCATCTCAATCTCCAAGTTCAGATCTCTCCATTTTCAAAGTATATTATGCTCAAACAAATCTCAGACTCCAAGATCAGATCTTTCCATATAATTTAACCCAACAACCATCTCCTGAAGTTAAGTTCATCTCTAGAAACTGAAATGAAATTTCACCCAGTACCAACAATTAAATCCATTACGAGAAAATTAGTATCATTTTAGTTTCTTGGTCTGCAGAATGAAATTAGGCAGAAACAGATATTGATTCCAAAATATGATAAAGCCAAACCAATTCAATGAGCAAGAAATAAACCATAAGAGATTTAATATAATTAAGAAATGACAAATGTCTTTTACACCAGCAAACAACAAACTTATACAGCAGTACCGTAGAGCACTAGAGCTGGCCAAGTCGCCAAGAGAAATTGCTAGTTGAAGTATGTAGCTGTATGACTTTCCTTTAGCCAGTGTAATCCTGCAGAAAATCAGTTACCATTAGGACCATCATTCGTATGGAGTTTCAGAAAATAAAATTTGATTTTCAGATTTGACAGTGGAGAGTGGAGAGTGGAGACTGGAGAGTGACGGCCTGAAGGGGTTTTAGTTTTAGGGCAACTGAAATTTTTAGATTTGGCATTTGGGGATTTTTTTTGCACAGACGAGTCGTGACGTCTTCTTTCACTCTTAGTCTCTTTTGTTAATTTTTTTTTTTTAAAAATAAAAACCGGGTACCCGGTTTTTAAAAATTAAAAACCGATACCCGAACCGAAAATTCGGGTACCTTCTAAAAACTACCCGAAACCGACCCGAATTTTTGGGTATCCGAAAATTCAGTTTCGGTTCGGTTCGGTTACCGTGTTCGGTTCGGTTATCGGTTTTTTTTGCACAGCCCTAGACGTCGGCCTATTGACCCTATATGCATATATATTCGCAATCCTGCTCTCATACCTTTGATTACTCCACACATAACGCAAAATTAACAAAAAATTGGCAAAATTGAAGCATAAAGATGTAATCTATGACCTCATTCAACCGATATTCAAATGAAGGATAGCGACTTCACTAATCAGAAAACTTGAAAGTGATAATGTTACTTTATTAATGGACCTGCAAAAAAAAAAAAAAAAAAAAAAATTTATAACTTTGAAGTCAGGCCGCTGGTAGTGATAATATTACTTTATTAATGGCGTCAACTAATTGAAATTCTCGTCAATAAATTATATAAAAAATATTCATTTCAATCGACTTCACTTCTCTCTGGCCTCTTCCCACCATCTATTTATTCTCCAAGTCTATATCCATCCAACTCCATACAATTACTTTAACATTTATGTCAAATTGTCAATTAGGTAAGAAAGGGAAGATAACATTTATAGCTAGTATGGAAATTATTGGGTTACATTTATTTATTTATTTATTTTCTTTTAAATTCGGATAAATATTTGCTGGTGGTAGTGCATTGGGCCTTTACCAATCAATCCTGATAGCGACCAAACACATCACTTTCTGTAATTTGATGAATCAACCAAATCAAAATAATCGATCCCTATCTTCCTTTTCCGCATGGTGAGAGGAGAATTGTGTCTGGTTCAATCGTTTTTCCTTCTTCATGTTTTCTCAATGATTTGTTTTCGATACATCTTTATTACGTGTACTTTCTGGTACCTAGAAAGGATATATCTCTTTGATCTAGTAGACATCACAATTTTTAGAAAGAGGAGGAAAAGGAAATGCACTATGGAAAAGTATTAATGGAGAACAATATATTGAACCGACTATATTAATCCCTATTCTTTGGACGCAAATTAAAATTTAAAAAATGATTTGTGAAGTGAAATATTATGCTCATTTTTTTTTTTTAACATTTTAATAAGGGAGACCGACATTTTCCCACCCAAGGTTTGGCAAAACGACACTTTCCCACCCTTCAAGTTTCAAAATGACACTTTTTTATCATTCATTAGGTTCTGTTATGTTTTCCGTTAATATTTTATTGAAAAGACGAAAATACCCTTAAATATTTGACTTTATAAATTTTTTATTATTTTTTAATTAGCCAAAAAGTCAAATATTAAAAAATTTTTAGGCCCCACCTAAAAAGTTAGGAGTAATACTTAGCAATTGTTTAAAGTTAATATTTATTTATTTATTTACAATGTCATTAATATCCCATCACTATTATTCAATAATTTATGAAATTTATATTTTTCATAATATAAATGTTTTTCAATTTTACTAATTAACATAAAAAAATCAATATTCCTAATTAATTAAATAAACAAAGGAAAAAAAATATCTTTACACTTGAACTAATAAATAATTGAGTAAAGACTTTGATTTAACTAAATTTTAATTTATAATAAACTAATTAAGAAATAAACTATTTAAGGGTATTATCATCTTTTTAGTCGAATATTAACAGAAAATACTAACAGAACCTGACTAAGGGTAGGAAAATGTCATTTTGAAACTTGACGGGTGGAAAAGTATCGTTTCGTCAAACCTTGGGTGGGACAATGTCATTCTCCCTTTTAATAATCCAAAAACCCTTTGTGAAACTAACGAAGTAGATACTGATTGAAAAGATACATACCCACCAACAAAAATACGGATAATGTTTCAATGTAGGATGTGTCGAAACCCTTCTAACAAAGTAGATACTGATGAAAAGACTTGATGCCCACCTTTAAAATTTTGTTGTCTTGTGTCACATGTGGATAAGATTTCAAAATAGAATATGCACAGGGAGACAACGACAAATGATGCATGCATCACCTTTGCTTTTACCTGATTCTGCAAGCTGCATTAGGATTCTCTTCGCAAAAGTAATCACGTCTATTAACTCTGTAACAACCGCCACCGCCACTACCACCCCAGCTATCGTAAACCGGCCTCCCGTAATATCCCTCATAACATCTTGGCGGCCACGCCCACACCCCCCCCACCCCCCCCAGCATTCCCTGCAACACGTTGGGTTCGGATAAGCCGGTGGATCAACAAAAGTAACCTTACCGGCTTGTCTTGTTTTGGCGGCGGGTGGTTTCTCTTTCGGCTTTGGAGGTTCTTTAGGCTTTTCAGATTCTTCCGGCAAGGCGGGTTCTTTAGGCTTTTCAGGTTCTTTAGGCTTGGGTGGAGGTAGAATTTCAATACTCTTGATTGAATCACCACCTTTGCAGTTAATCTTTTGATTGATCTTCTCAGGACTACGGCACACCACTTTGATCGTCACTGTGTTCTGCTTCTCGTCATACACCTGGTCTTGTATTTCTGATCTTTTTCACAAAAATCAAACATTCCTTCTACATTAATTATACACATACTTCAAATTCATTAACAAACAGAACTAGTCACTTTCCAATATTTACCTATATTTCTAATCACCAATCCAAGTTATTTTCATGAATTAATGTTCTTCTTTTGTTAGGTTTCGTCGGTTGATGTGGAAATGCTACCCTTACCCACCTTTGGTTGGACTTTGGAGTATTATTAATATTCAACAGATTTTGTACTAGCCCCCGTGACTTTTAGTTTAGGCGGAACTGTTAATTAAATAATTATCATATTGATAACAAATTAAGTTTGTCCATGTGATATATGGAATAATATAATATGCATTTATGAGGGATCGATATAGAGGAGGAATGAGTTCAAGCAAACTGTTTTTCTTCTTTCAGTTAAAAAAAGAAAATTAAATATTGCCTATAAGATAATTTAAACTTGGTTGAATGTTAGTTTCTGAGAGCATCTCCAAAGGACTATTTATATGACCTAAACTCTTTATTATAAAGAGTTTATCTATAAAAACAAGAGTCAAACAGACTCTTTATCTTTAAAATATAAATTAGAGAGCGAATTTGACTCTCTACATTTAGAGAGTCAAATTTCACTCTCTATCCTAATTTTAATTAATAAACTATGAATTCCTATACATTTTATTTATTAATTCTCTCTCACATTAAGTCTTTGTCTTAAAAATAAAGAACATTTTCATTAAATTTAAGGAGTCTATTGGATTTGAATAAAAATTGTATTCTTTATATTTTAAAATTAATGAAGATGCTCTTTATTTGTATAAAATATGCTCTTCGAAATAAAGAGTATCATTGGAGATACTCTTAGTGTTATAAGTGGTAGACTTTCACCAATTTGGCACATGGCCTATGCAAGTCCACTCTGAAGACAGATGAATTATTATTTGTTATTAGATAATTAGTCTTTATAATAGGTGGATTGGTGAGAAAAGGCTATAAATTGAGCTCATCTCCTTCAATTTATTTCTAAACTCAATTATGAGAAAAAGTTAATAAAAGTTTCTCCTTTCAGCCCTCTTTTTTCTACTCTTACCTTCAGTCCCTATTAGTTTATTTTATTACAATTACACCACTAAGAAGTGAGATTATAACACTTTGAGAAGTTTTGAAAATTTTCTCACCGACATTCATTTTACTTGCATTTTAAGTCTTAAATGTAGCATATTTATATGGTTAAATAATAATTCAATGTTAATATACTGTTACTGTTTACATTTCTACATACTGCAAAATTTTCAATCCCAGTTGTTATAACAATGTGGAATTATGAATTAGTTATTATGCAATGTTCTATAAACCGAATTGGTCAGACCGATGATGTCAGCAACCAAATTTAAAAAAAAATTATAATTAGTCCCTTAAATTTAGTATATTGCAAAAATACCTCTAAAAATTATAATTAGTCCCTAATAGTTTAATATATTTTAAAAAGTGCCCAAAAACTATGAATTAGTCCCTAAGGTTTTCGAAATACTGCAAAAACACTCTTTTTAAAATGTAAATATAGACAAAGAAGAAGTCCTGCTCAATTACCGCGTAAAAGAAGAAGTCACAATCTTTATGCAAATAGTTTGCTATGTTGGTTCCTGCATCGATCTTGCGGACATTTTCCCAAGCGTTCCTTGCATAGAAAAACAGATTTTTTTTTTCTTTTTTTCTGTAGGAAGACAACGGATGAGAAAAAGGAAGCTAATAAAGAATGGCACCTTTTACGAAACTGTTACAATATAGTGACATTCCTTCTACGAAAAGTGATGAAACCTCTATACAAAGAAGAGAAAGACACATGCCCACACCCACAAAGACTTATCTATGAATATTCTACATAATTAACAAACCATCAAGAAAAATAATCAAACTAGAAGATTGATCGATGATCATGTGCATCGATGAAGCATAATGTGATTACATAATCGAGCAAGATGAAGGGTTTTCTTCACAATAATAGTAATAACCACCACGATTCCTGCAATAATAACCCCTGTTGCAACCACAATCACAGCCACCACCCCAACTATCACAAACTGGCCTTCCATAATAACCACCATAACATGGAGGTCTCCCATAAGCAAGCTGTTCACATGGCCCCCCTCTCCGCCCCTCGGAGCACTCCCTGCAACACTCCCCAAACGGGACCAGGTAGGCGTAGCCCGGCGGACAGCCCAGTACCGGTATCTTGGGTGGCGGACTGGGGGGTGGTACTTTAATAACAACTTTAGTAGGTGGCTTGTCTTTAGGATTGGGACCTGGTTGCTCATCAGGTACGTTTGGTTTATTTCCATCTTTTTCCCCTCCAGATGGTTTTGATTCATCTCCGTCTTCTTTCTCTCCAGATGGTTTGCCATGCGGTTTCTCTTCTTTCTTCTTAGGCGGTTTGATTTCTATACTTATGATTGACTTACCGCCCTTGCAGCGGATCTTTTGCATTATTTTTTCAGGGCTGCAGCTACACGCCACTTTTATCGTAACTGTGTTTTTCTTCTCATCGTAAACTTGATCTTGTATTTCTACATATCAAAGTTCAACAGAATTAACCAAATCCAATAGCTTACATAGTCATGCACAAAAATAAACACACACACATACACACACAGAGACTCACGGGGGATTTTACACAGTATTTTCTTGACTTTCTTGTAGCATTTGCTGCAATTTAGGTCAACTTTGATCACCATAATCGTGGCCTGCGATTATTAATCAGAAAATTTAATTACTTAAGAAGAAAATTAAATGTCAAGAGAGGAGAGTTAAGGAAGGTGAGATTGGTTTGCAAACCTCCGCCATCTTTGAGAGTGTTGATAAGATCTGAACCTCAAAGCTTAAGGATCAAGACTTGTTATCATTTATATATACACTTGAATAACTTCTGTTATGAAGTTAATTACAAAATTAAAGCCCAGCTGTCAGGTGACGTTCTCAAACTGACGTAGGCTTATTTACCTCGAAAATGACTTCAAAAATTATTGAAGGACTAAAGGGTAATTAAACTTACCTTAGACTTGTAATTATGCACATGATCAATTTGTATATAATCACAAGCGTGCTCTTATACCTTTGATTATTCCACACATCAATCAGGATCATGCATTTCATCTTCTCCAATTCACTTAAATATTATTTTAATCCATCTTATAACAATAAGTTAGTGACTATCGGTCTTCCCATGCCTTATTCGGAATGAATTCAATTTTATAATTACATAATGATTGTGTGGTAACATATATTTAAAAATATTTAATTAACAAAATTTGGCAAAATTGAAGCATAAAGATGTAATTGATGACCTCAATCAACCCATATTTAAGATTAATTAAAGATTATTCGGATGAGGGATAGAGACTTCACTAGTAGAAAACTTGTGCAAATACGTAACTTTCAGTGGTAATGTTACTTTATTAATGTCGTCAACTTACTGGAATTGTCGTCAAGAAATTGTATATAAAATGTAAAAAAGAAACCTTTCAACCGACACTTCATTCTGGCCTTATCCCCACCGGCCTTTTTTTTTACCAGGCAATCAGGCCAGCTTGTGTTAACGATCGAGTAAAGCTCTAGTGACCAATCCTATTAATAACTAAGGTGAAACAAACTCAGGATCTTTTGGGTAATATTCTAAGAGTCTTTATTCAACCACTCGACAACCCAATGGTTGTTAGCATCCTCTTTTTTATCCGAGTCTATACACATATGCTTATTAAATCACCAGTAATTTCATGTGGAAATCTTACCAACAATATATAATATCGCTAGCCTCCCATTGTCTAAAACAATACAAAGCATTATTTATTAAAATATTTGTAATTTTAGTTTGTATTCCTTAAAGCTTTATTTATTAAGATTTTGCAAACATTCTCCCTCATGGCTGGCTAGTGGGGTTGCTCAGATCTGAGTCTGAAGTCGGAACCTCGTTCTCAGAATATTAATGAGTTGAGTTTGATTAATAAAACTAATGAGGAAGAGAATGACCAGTGAGAGTGAGACTGAGACCGAGAGAGAGACACATATTATAAAATTATATAAACTTATTTCAATCTCAAGAAGGCGTATGAGTTTGATTTCCGTACATCAATAACACTACGATTTTGACACGTGTAAGGATGTTGAATGCGATCATCAAGATTGTCCACTAGCTTTTTGCTTTGAATGATTGAAGCAGCATTTATTTATTTAGCAGCCCACTTTGTTAATTATATAAACTTATAATTGTTGTAGGTAGTAGCCTAGTAGGCTTCCATCAGTTTAATGCATAGCCCACGTAAGTTTATATGAAGACACATTGTCTATACAAGTCCAATTTGAAGACATAGGTGCGTTTGTTATTGGATAATTGGAGGTAGGTTGGTAAGGAAAAACAAAACTGAGCTCATTTCTTTCATTTTATACACAACTCAGTCGAATGAAAGAGTTAATTAAAATTAAAAACTTCTCATTTAAGCCCTCTTTATTTTACTCTTTTACTTTTTAGTCTCTCTTAGTTTATTTTATTACAATTACACTACTAAAATTATAAGACGTTATCAGCACAAGAAACTCAGTAAGTGTAACAATTTTATTCAATCATTTTATTACATTATATGATACAACTACCATTATGAGTAAATTCTATGGTTGCTATAAAATGGATCTTTCATTAAAAAAATACAGTTAGTTCCTAACAATAATATATTTGTTATAATCATTTCCTGAACTAACCAATTGACTTTATTTATATGTATTACTAATTCTGCTACATTTTGCAATCAATGACTTAACTACATTACGGTTTTTTTTTTTTTTTTTTTTTTGAGGTTTATTATATTACTAGAGACACAAGAAATTATGGAAACTTGAAGTTTGTAAATATAAATGATAAATGAACCTGAAGTTCTAAGATTTTGATATTTATTTTAGAATCTAAAGTTTCAAACGTCAAAACCTGAAGTCCTAAGTTGCGATTTTGATATATGGATTCAAAACTTGAAGTTCGAAATACCGAAGTTATTGTTAGACAAACAGTGAAACGGTGACGTTTGTATAAAGCTGACCCAAAGTGTTGTCGTTTTGAATTGTAATGATCAGCTATTAAAGCTGACTTTTGTAACACTATTGATTAATGGAAAACACGTGAAGTATTTCTTCTTTCTCACTGATTTTTGCTCTCAAATCCCTAACCTTCATAAAATCCCTAACCTTCACATGGTATCAGAGCATCCTTGACTAACGTCAATGGCGGGAAAATCTAATAGCTCCAATTCAACCGAAAACATTGACAGAATGTTTCACAACTCTGTCAACAATTCTCTCAATCTCACTTCCTCAGCTATTTCATCCAGCCTCCAAATCATTAATCCAAAGCTTACTCTCGATAATTACAGATTCTGGTGTTCTCAAGTACTCTTTGCAGTAGGAGCTCACTAATTGGAAGATCATCTAACAGGTTTAGTTCCCTGTCCAGCTCCTTTAATTCCTAGCAATTCTGATAGTTCTAAAGATATTGTTGATGGTCAAGATGTTGAGCTATTTTCTAAAGAAAAGATTAATCCAGCTTACACTCTATGGAAACGAATTGATAAGTTTCTTGTGAGTTGGTTATTAGCTTCAATATCTGAGAATATGTTTAAGAATGTTTCTAAATGTCAGTATTCCACTAAAATTTGGTTTGTTCTTGAAAAAGAATTCATTATAGACTCCAAAGCTAGGGCTTTACATTTAAAGAATTTACTTCAGAATACTAGCAAAGACAATCTTAGTATAAGTGAATATGTTAGAAAGATGAAAGGAATTTCTGACAGTTTGTCAGCTAGTGGACAAATTATATCTGAGGAAGATTTGCTCCGATATATCTTAGATGGACTAGGTCCAGAATATGATGCTGTTGTTGTAAACCTCACCTCAAGAATTGAATCTAGAACTGACTCAGTGTCCTTGCAAGAAGCTCAATTTCTGTTGCAAAAGTACGAAATTAGGTTAGACAAGTTCAATTCAGTAGACTTTCATAATAGCTCAGCTCACATTGTAGCTATAATTAAAACCAGTTCCACATCTGTGCCTAGTAATCATACTCAGCATGTCACCCCTGATTTTACTAATGTGTCTCATAGTCTTGATCCATCCTTAAACACATTAGGAAGTCATAAACTACATGGTAACTACCCTGTTGCTACTGGACAAATAGGCCAAACCATATCTAGTTCTCAATTTGGTCAGCAAGGTTATCCTGATACCAATAGTGGCTTTGGATCTAGTTTTGGAAACAACTTTGGAAGTTATAGACCTTATTTCAATAATTTTGGAAGAGGTAGAGGCAGATCCAGTGGAAGAGGTAAACCTATTTGTCAGGTTTGTAATAAGACTAGACATATTGCTATACAGTGCTATCATAGATACATTTCAACTTATAATGGACAGATGCAAGGCACTGGTTATCAGAACTTTTACAATAATGGTAATCTGCAGTCCACTGGACCACAAAACTTATACACTAATCCTGGTATTTCACATCAAGGTTATGGGGTGTTCAATGTACCAAGTCATCAGGATCAGAATTTTATCGAGCATCCAGCTCTTCTAATCTCTTTACTCCATCTCAGCAAGGCTTTGGACATATTACCTTTTCACAGAATTATTCTCATGTTGGCAATTCTGGAAATGTACCATCTCAAGCATCAGTTCAAGCTCATTTTGCTGATCAAACTGTTCAGAATACCAACTTAATCACTAATTATGGTCATATTCCCAACTCATCTAACCATGGAGCTCAACCTGTTGTGGTGAATCAGAACAGTGGTCTGTCTGTTTATAAAGCTTCATCATCCACTCCATAGGATCCTACCTGGTACATGGACTCAGGAGCAATTGACCATGTTACATCTGACCTCACTTAGTTAAACATTAGCAAGGACTATGATGGATCAAATCAACTCCAAGTAGGTAATGGTGAGTTCCTTCACATTACACACACTGGTTTTACTTCTTTGCCTAGCATTTTACAGAATAAATGTTTACATCTAAAACATGTTCTTTGTGTTCCTAGAATAACCAAAAACTTACTTAGCATATCGAAATTCACTAAAGACAATAATGTTGTAGTTGAATTTAATGTTGATTCCTGTGTTGTTAAGGACAAAGTCACCAGAGCAACTTTACTGCAAGGAGAGCTTAGAACAGGCTTATATCAACTGAATCTTTCCCCAAAATTACCTTCATATTCACCTTCTTGCTTAAAGTCATCGATTTCACCTCATAATTGTTCCCATAATGTCAATCTAACTTCTGAACCTTTAAGTGAGTCTCATACTTGTACCATCAATAAAGATGTTGTTATAATGATACATGATAGTTTAAATGGTCAAATAAATAGTATGCAGAATGCTACTACACCTTGTATTGATAACTCTACATCTTGTATTGAAAATTCGTTTCCTCCTATTCATCCAGTGTTAATAAAAACAATGATGTTTCTGCTTCAGTTTGTGTTGATACAACTTTAGTTGCATCTGATAATTCTGTTTCATCCTGTGTTAATGAAGATATCATTGTATCTGATAATTTTTTAGTTGACTCTAATAGTAATAATACTTCACTACCATCTGTTCATGTTGTTCATAAACACACTGATGATGCTATGTTATGACATATGAGGTTAGGACATCCACACTTAGCAACCTTGCAAAAGATTTTAAAAAGTATGGTAGCAAATGAAACCCTAATCACAAAACCTAAACTGCCAATTCCCTTTTGCGATTCTTGCCATTTAGGGAAAATGCATCAAAACACCTTTCCTACTTCACATTCTAGAGCTAGTGCACCTCTTGAACTTGTTCA